CACCGGTGCATGCGCAACGCTGACCTCATACGTCATTCCCCCGGAACTGCTTCTGTTACAACTGTTGGCGCAAGCTAGATTCAAGTGATTATTACGTTTTGAATATGGATATTTTTCTTACAAAAACGCATCGATTCGCTACAGGAGGCCTTTGTTCACCCCCCGGAGCCGTGTGAGACACTTTTTTTTGTGGAAGGGTGCTTTTTATTTCACGTCTTTTGAACAGAAGGAATGCAACACCCACTGAGTACAACGATAGAGCTTGAAAGATCAAAGACAATTTTTAATATAACTCAGACTGGATTCGTCTGAAAGAAGGAAGTCATATACACCTAGGATGCTTCGGGGGTGAGTAAAACACAGCATAATTTTCATTTTGCGGTGAACTAACCCTTTAAGGGATTGTTAGGCTTCATTAATTAGGGCAACTGAAACCAGGAACACTTCTCATAACACCTGATGTACTTGTTACATCGTAAGAAGAAAGGCTTGTGCCTGTCTTACCCTTATTAGGAGGTGACCGTTGTCAGCCGAATCAAGCCTGTAATCCAGACCAGATGGTGGACCTGCACCCAGGAACAACCACAACACAGCCCCTCACATTCATGGTCAGTGTCCTCGACGAGATGAGCTCTCAGGACAGATCTTCAGTGAAGACATCTGTGTCTAAACAAGCCCTACAGCCAGCTATGAAAGCATTGTCTCAGGAGCAGCTGGGACAGAAATTTAGTTTTATCAAGAAGGACATCATGCTGAAGGTCACTGATAAGCCAGTAGTCTAATACTGGCTAAATGGTAGCTCTACCTTCTACATACCTACATACTATACCTACATACTACATCTACCTACATACTACCTACCTGCTGAACAGACTACACCTCTTCTTTTTTCCACTTAATGCTGGGCTGACGTACCTCAATCAATACCGTATTTGTTCATTTAGGCCAGAAGATCCTGGTTTAATACAGATATGTACTTATTATTTAAAATATATGAAAACAATCACATATCCCATTGAGAGATTACACTGTCAGAGAATTTGGGAATATTCACACATAATTTATACATATAAAACATGACATCAGAGTCACAAGATCAAACATTTTTGAAAAGAACAATACATGACTGTTGTTTAAACCAATGAGCATTAGGCTGTGTCATCATCAAGTCGTCATCATTGTACCTTAAGTCAGCGCAGCTGAGGGAGAGCAACTATGCCCGACTGCTCTATCTGGCACTGCCATAATGTTTTTGACATATGTCACCATGAAATTAGAGCAAGTCGGACCACACTTGGACACATATCTAACCAGCATGCATCTTGTGGTGATGACCAGAAATCGGTAGAGATGTGACATATACAGCATCATTAAAAGTACTCTGACCCCCTAAAAGACACTTCACACCCTGCCTGTAAGTGCTCTCTATACATGTGTATGTGCATATGCATATTAATGCTGGTGTATGAGAGATGTTGACTACTTCACTATGGACAGAGTAAAGTTAAAGTTAAAGGGTTAGTTCACTCAAAAATGAAAATTCTGTCATTAATTACTCACCCTCATGTTGTTTCAAACTCGTAAGACCTTCGTTCATCTTCGGAACACAAATTAAGATATTTTTGATGGAATCTGAGAGCTGTCTGACCCTGCATAGACAGCAATACAACTGAAATGTTCCCAATTCCATGTAGCAAGGAGATTGATAAAATAATCCATGTGACATCAGGGGTTCAACCATAATTTTACGTAGCTACGAGTATACTTTTTGAGAGCAAAAGGGAAAAAAAACGGCTTTATTCAACAATTCAACAATCGTAAAATTTGGGTTGAACCCCGGATACATTTCTAGACCTTGATCGTGTAAGGACCCTTTCTGTCTATGGGAGGGTCAGAGAGCTCTCAGATTCCATCAAAAATATCTTAATTTGTGTTCCGAAGATGAACGAAGGTCTTACGGGTTTGAAACGACATGAGGGTGAGTAATTAATGACAGAATTTTCATTTTTGGGTGAACTAACCCTTTAAGA